TTGATGAGACTGCGAGTGCGACTGATAATGTATGAAGCTTGTGCATTGTTGATTAGTCTAACTTGATTTTAATTAAAACAAATTTTAGGTCTTACCGGTACCAGCAGCTGCCGGGTGTCCCCCAAAGTCTTCAGCTGCTCTGGTAACGCCTGTAGAACTGGTAGTGGGTCTGACGTCGGGCATATGACAATGTGGATGTGTCACATCGCTGCGCTGCTTTCGCTGTCTTTTCAGTTGGGGCAAGGCTGTGAAATTTGTGGTTCTGCTTTCACCAAAACGTTGAGTTCGGAGGTTGAAACCGTGCCACTCTTCTGAATATTTAGCTCGTTCCGTTTCGTTTTTATTTTTAGGGGAAATATTACTTCTCTGAGACATTTTGGCCAGCCGCGGATCACTCAGGAGGGCAACTGACGATTACTTGGAAAGAACACGTGCATGCGTGACTGAAAATAAGCTGCAGGATCTAGGAGGCCGGGCGCAAGCGGCATGCGCATATCATATGCAGCGCACATGTACATGTACTGAACATGTACATGTACATGTGTACATTGTACACTGTACTGCACACACATGTACAGTACATGTTGATATACCTACTTTACATGTACTACTTCGGAATACATTTGCATGTTCAAGCTCCGCCCACAACGTTCGCATCGGATAATGCTAAAACATTATACACGGCTGAAAAGTAGGCTACGCTGTCAATAACCTCTCCAATCGCCATTTATAGATCTATTCACTGGTTCCAGTGGCAAATGCGACATTTCAACTGTCTTGCTAGGGTACCAGCCCAACCCCCATTGAAACGTGTATGGTTGTATTCGAGAATTGAGCTTCACACGTATCGACGCATATATGCCTCCTTTTTGCCCCTTGATTACTTCAGGACCGCCCTGTAGGCCAGTCGGTATTTTTCCATGACAACACGCAGCCTATGACCCATCGTCTATGTTCATTATCCTTTTTTATCCTGGTGTGCCATAAATTCATAGTAGAGGTCATTGTGTACCATCATAGGAGTTTACTGGTTCAATTTAAAACAATGTATTATTACTGGTTTTTGTGACATTCTTTAACCATTAGGCCTGTAAGTACTCTATGCACGGATGTTTTTAATTTAAATTATAGCCAACTGCCACGTAATGTAGGCCTACATACACACGTAAGTACACCTACACGTAAAGACAAATCTCGCACTTATCATCAAGAAAATGCATGTTTCAGTTTCAGCTACTTAGTGAATACACAGTGAAAACTAAATAAAGCAACTCCCAAACCCTACTTAAAACGGTACGTTCCTGTTTTTTTTTTTTTTAGAATGCCACCACAGCCCCTCCTCAGAATAGCCTACACCCCAATGTACAATTAAATATTCCGTTCCACAAAGAATGCAAATGAGGTTCATGTGGGACAGAATCCGGCCTTGTGATTGGTTGACGGCACGTCGGGGGCAGGGCAAATTACCTGGTTAGACGATCTTCAATACTAACACACCCTACTCATGGAAGGCAACATGACAGAAAAAAAAAATCTTTTCATACTATACTACTTTGCACATGTAATGCCCAGACCAAAACCGACCAACCAGCACTGTGTCTGCTCTGGCAAACAATACTTTACTCATGTCCACCGGCTCAAAATAGTCCCACTAACAATTAATTTTTCAGAAAAAAAAAATGAGCTTCCGACCTACTGTGGTTTTATTTTTAAACCCGTTTTTCCACGTGGTGAGCATTTGTCATTATTGCTGGTAATGTGGAGGTTCATGCAACAGCTACACTTTATCTTTCAAGGAGAGGAATCAAGAAAATCCAGACTGCTAAAGATTAGTTTGAGCACAACAGTACTATGGCCGCAAATTCTATTCACATATTCTGCATGGCTGTAGGCGTGCATCTTCTTTCTTGCGAGAGCAATGTGTGACTCGTGTTAAAGCGCACAACTGCTTGTTTCCTCACGGAGTGCGGGCATTCCTTTTTTTTTCTCTGCTTATTGAGAAAATGCTCCTTATTCTCCATCGTTACAACTCATTGTTAAATTTTTCAAGGTGATTTTCAAATCTTTTTTCTCCATTTGCCACAATTAACTCCTACCAGAAATGCATCAGGAAGTGTTTCTGTGAGAGGGGAACAATGTATGGACATTTTGCAATTTCAAATATCTTCTAAGCC